TAAACGTCAACATTTTCAAAAAAAAATTAATTTGCTTGACAATTCAAACGAATAAAATGTGATTCTTGTTTAAAACAAGAATTCAGTTTCACCATAGGACACTTCTTGAATAGTATTAAATGTGCAAACATTTAAGACTATAGTCCTCAAGCAAACTTAGAAATTTCAAAAATCAGTATTTGAATAAATTCATTATTAAATGAAAACAAAATGGATCTGAATTACTTCCAGGTTAATCCACACTTTATTAGTGTCTGGCGTCAATGATTTTCGACGTCTAAAGTATGTTATTATCATATTATAATACCTAGTTCGCACTCGGGCATGTTATACGATTTGCATTGTTAAATCTTTCACCGTACCAGATAATGTATCTAAGGCGCCTTATATACCTTATGGTATTTTTTCCCCCTTTGATGTCTTTCAATATATTATTGTGCAGGTTGTGCGACAGATACACTCGTTAAAAATGTTACTGATTTGATGCGTCATTAGTGTGGAGGCTGTTAATCAAATTTTTTCACTAACCACGAAAATTGAGTTTCGTGCAATGAGATTTCGACACAATTTAAAGTGTTTCCATGGAAATATAAAATGCATGGCGGTTGTTTTTGGTGTGTGGGGGAAAGGATCGTGCAAATCCTTTACACGATATATTATGTGTTTCCATGGAGACCTATTTAGACGAGATGGGTTAATCTTTTGTGTTTGTATAAATCAAACTTTAAGTCAACGTTTTCGTTCAAAATCAAAATATTTAACTTGTATCAATAAATTTAGAACTTTGGTATGACTTACTTATACTATTTTGGATATAGTTAAAACATAGTGTATAAGTAATTAATTAGAATACTTTTAAGTACTAGATACACTAGTTTTTTTGTTTGAATGATGTAATTTTTTAGCATGTTTTTTTCTCACCAATTTTTCGTATATTAAACATTTCGAGAACATAAACTGACGCATATCTAAAAGTATTAAAACGTGGCCAGCAAGTTTTTTTGTTCAATGTTTGTTAAATATGTCAACGATTTTTTTTTACTCCATTAAAAATATGAAATTTGTGATACTATAATATTTTAGAGGTAAGAAACAGAAAGTTTAGTCGTTTTTTGGTTTTTTTGTTTCTTATAGATAATAATATTTATATTTAAAAAAAAAAATGTTATAAACTCAATATATTTCATACATTTAAAAAATGAATATTACAATTTAATTTGTCTTAATTGTGTTGGATCACGCTTTGTTATGTTTTTTTTTTCAAAATGTTGACATTAATTTTGTGCATTCGTTTTTAATCAATAACTTTTTAAAACAAAATAATATGTGCATAAGTATTTTTTTTCCTATCTGTGTACTCTTTTGCTCAACATTATAAATGGGCTAATATCAATAATAATAAGAGTTACGTGTGGCGCAAATGCGGTTTCGGGATTGCATTTATATGGTTATATAATGATAATATGTCCTATTCAGATTTACGCACAACGGCGTCTTTGATAGGCAATTTGGTTATGTAATAGCATACGAGGGCTACGTGCGTGCGTGGTATAAACGGCCCCTTCTCACTCGTTAGGATATTATAATATTATTATATGCCACCATTTCATGCCCCACTGGTCGTTAAATGACAATAATGTAATTTAATAGCCATTTGGTATTAATTAAGTCACAGTAGCTACGGTGCCCGTACAGCGTTTTTGTTGTTTCACTCGCCATTATATAAATTAAAAACCATATTTTAAAATCAATTTTCAATTCGAACACAATAGTGACCGTACAGTTGTAAATACTCATACACATAATACCTATAGGTACTATATGTATTATATAGGTAACATGCAATGTGATTAAATTTAAAAATAATAAAAATAAAAGTGTATTTAGTGTAAATATTACATCGTCGAAGGTAAAATATTATGGCAAATAATGTACTATATACCTACCATGCTGTAATTTTGATTGATATTTTTACTGATAAAATGTATACAAAAATATATATTTAAAAAGTTATTTGGATCATATATTTAGGAAACGAGATCAGATTGACTATTGCTAGGTAAAAGCTTATGTTTTGGTGCTACGGAACAGCAGTTTCCTCTTGAACTTTTTTAAAATACATGATATTTCAAAATGAAAATTTGGAGATTCTAGGATATGTCCATTGGTACATAAGGAATAATAATACAACATTGGGAATAATCCAATACTATTTGTATTTTTAATATTTTGTAGTATGTTACTAATATTTATAACCTATATAGTTATTAGTTAAACCATTTAACCATTTAAACTATTTAAAATAGTTATCGTTGGTTTTTTATTTTATTTGTTACGATTTAATATGACGCATTTTCTGACAAATAACGATATAAATTGTACTAAATAGTAAGATTTGTTTAATTGATAACTCATGTGAACGTGGTGAGTACTCCGCTTTTTAATATTGTATTTAATTAAGTTGTTTATAAATGAGGATATTACATTAAGATTTTACGATTATTGATTATATTATGTAGAAGTTATAAAATTTTTATTACAAATATATTAAATTAGAGCACTTTGAAATTATATTTATTTTTTTTTAGACCAGCGATTACTATGTACCTCTACTACTTAAATAAATACAAAGTGTATATTAATTTAAATCCATTAATAAGTAGGCATTTTTATAACGCATTTTTACGAGTAAGAAGTTATTAAAAATGAAATAATATTTTATACTTCTGTATAAAAATAATTTTTTCCCTCTAGTGTTAACATTAATAAAAGTTAAGTATTTGCGAAGTGGACCATATGAAAGCAGTTATAAGGGTGGTTACTAAAAACCATATACATCCATGATGTGCATAATTTTTAATCTTAAATAGTTAAAATTTATACATTTACCAATATATAATACAGTTTTATGGTCTTTGTATAATAATATTTAAGTCCTAAAATATTTTATTAAACCAAACAAAAGCGAAAAAAATAATCCCTACATTTTGTAAATCATTTACATTAAAAATTGTGATGACGTTTTATTATACGGTTCTGACAATAACCATGGTGCGTAAATAATACTCGTATTTATTCAAAACCGGAAACCGCGAAGTGGAAAAACTCATGAAAGTATCATGTCCACAAAAGATTTTTGTTAGGTATTATCTTTTGTACAAAAAAATCTTAGAAAGGAGTTTTTTGAGGTTTATGATCAATAAAGATATTCTTATTCTTTAATTTGGATAAATATTTTTATATTATAAATTAAATGCGCAAATTATAATAAAAACTATTAACCAACGTTATTTTTTATAGATATTATAAGTTTAAATTTGGATGAAATTAGATATTTAGACAAAGAATAATAATTTTAGCTTGAAATAAAATTGTAATTTATGGTTCATTAACAATACAAAAGCGTTAAACTTTTTCATAAATAATGGAGATAATAATAATGAATAATATAATTAGTATTAACTTATATATGATTTGATTTATAGATACTATATTATTGATATTATAGGATATTTTTTAGAGATTTTATTGTTAAGTTGTTAGAGAATTGGCCTTAGAGTGATTATTACCTTTATTGTTATACACAACTAAGCACCAACTATCACAAAACTTACACAAAATACATGAAACTTAATTGTAATACGAATAGGTATATAACATATTAAGTATTCATGTTAAAATTTATTTGAAAAAGGATATACTGAATTGCATATTGTACAATAAAATGTATGACAATTGCAATAAATAATACCAAAATACAATATAGCATATCATATTGCATAGGACATTTTGTAAGCTTCTTAAGTTCTCTCGATCTGTTCGTTAACCTTTTTCAGACTTGTATGCTTTTGATTTCCATACCACCCCACAGAAAATTATGAAGGAAGATTAAAACTAGGCTACAATGCAATTGTTCAATCTTAAAATCAATAAATGCAAGTGCAAAATTTAAATAACATACAACCCTCGTTTTCTGTTTCTATACCAATGACAAGAGCACTGCAGTTTCAATAATAATACTTACTCGCTTGTCATTATTAATGTATAATTCTGATGATAATATTATACTATAGTAAGACATATACTTTAAAGTTTTTTACAAACAATTTTTCAATATTTTATTAGAAATATTTAGAATTGTTATGCGTATTTATCAAAATAATTTAAAGTACCTATGATAATTTGCTAAGATTTTACTTGGTATTTACTCACTGATATTTACTCAGTATTTTATTGGTTACATATACACGAATACATTAAATTTATTTTCATCACTTAATCAATCAGGTTTTGTAGGTTCTTTTCTTTCCTTCTTTTTTTTGGTGATGTAAATAAATATAAATACTCAAATACTTGGTTGACGAAAGTCGATCATAAATATTAAATAAAAGTATAACAATTTAGTTATTAAAAAACTTATCTTACATTTGTAGTAAAAATGATTTCCTAAATAAATAGTATTTTATTGAATAGTTGGGGTATTATTTTTCTGTGGCATTAATTCGATAAAAATGTATCTACTGTAATAGTAGATATAGTTATAAATTAAGATTTTCATTATTGTTCTTAGAAAAAATAAGAATCTTGTAATAATACATTTGAAATTTTTAAATACTGAATATCTATTTTAAAATGTTTAGTTTAATGATGTAGTTACTATTAAAGAATTCTATCCATAAATCGATTTTTAACAACATTTTTATTTAAAAAAATAACTTCGAACCATCGAGTAAACTTATTATTATTATCAATTGTGTTTTTTTTCAATGATTATTATGTTGATTCAACGAATTATCATTGTTATCAATGATAAGTTATACAGTTCTACATATATTTATTATTATAACGATAAAAATACGTACTTATATATAGTTAAAATTTTAAACAATCTAATACTGTAAATTTGTAACTAATATTTTTTAAGTATATAGTTAATTATATATATCCTATTTTTATCTATTATATAAACATGGAGTGCGTTTTATTTTTGTGATATTTACCTGCAAGTCCAATATCGTTTCACATAAATCTCCAGTGTAACCAAGAGGGCACAGACATAATGATGAATTGGCGGTTGTTACACACTTTCCACCGTGTTGACAAGGAGATCTTGTACACTTGTCCGTAGAGCATTCCTCTGTAAAATAAAATTATTATCAAAATTGTTTATTCGTAGTTATTGGCTAAGTGATATGAGTTATAGAGCTTAAACAAATCTAGTTCACAAAATCAATTTTTTGATGTTCTTTTATTCTATTTGAAACAAAAAAAACAACCCTACTGCGTCATTGCCGGTCCCACGTGTACTAAATTACAGTACCATTTATCAAAGACAAATTACAAAGCGAGGTTATCGATCAGAAACCAATACTTCAATGTCATTGTTCAAGATATATGTAGGTATCGTAAGAACATTACTTTTCCCGAGGTTAATCGATCTGATTTAAAAAAAAGAAGCAGCGTCAGGCTTAAAAGTTGTATACTTTGTTTAGACTTTAGATGAAAAGCATTTATATTATCATACAATTATTAATAAATTTAACGCGGTTATACCAACAATAATTTTCATTTAATTACTGACATAATTATGTTTCATGTAGTTTATAGTCCATGTAAAAATAATGTATGCTTATAATATTTTTAAATTACATGAATATACAATATGGCATGATGATATTATGTTAATGTACTATGTTAAACGAGCGTAAAAATAATTTTAATTTTTAATAGCGATGATGAAATCATATGATTATTATAATTTAACTTTTAATTTTTAGATGCAATTTGTAAGTAAAACCTATTATTCTTAAATTTTAAATGTTATTTAAAATTATTCAGCCATAATTTCAGTGTTAAATGTACTCATCGTTTCATTTTACTCTAACTGGGATATAGATTTATAGAAACATCGTTATAACACTAAAAGTTTTATTTTAATCATGGACTATTGAATATTATAAAAATTCGTATAGAGCGGATTTTGGCGTGTTCTGACTATAAATGTAGCAATTTTTTTCTTTTATCATAAATTAATGGGAATTTGAAACATTGACAAGCATAAAGTGTAATCTTCACCCGATATCCGAAAGATTGCATATAATTTATTGTTGCGTAACTTATACGAAAAAATCATAGATAATATTTGTTGCTCTATAAATAAATTTGCCAGATGATTTATAATATTAGGTATACATATAGAATCAATTTTGCTTAGTGTCATGAATAAACTCAATTAAATTGACTATCGCAATTCGAAACAATAAAAATAAAAATTTCTAATATGAAAATTATATACACCAAGTAATCAATAAAGTAAAACAACGTCAATAAGACATGAAGCATTTTTTCAGAGAATTTTGAAAAGATTAAAAAGCGAGTGAATGAATTGTGTCTTTTTTCGTTCTCTGTCATGGCTCCCAACCGATTAAATTAATAATAAGACACGAACTAACGACGAGCAACGTCGGCGGTAAAGCGGATGACTAGAAAATTAATTAACGCTGGCTAAAAGGAAGGTGGGAGTATACGGCTGTCCTCGACTTTCACCTCAAAAGCTTCTATCTAATGTTTACTCAAAGAGTTTTAGTAACTTTTTTCTCTCTCTCTCTCTCTCTTATTGTTACCGCTTTTAGTATAGTATTATCTATATAAATTAATAAACATGTACTACACGACATCTTCGCTAATCATGTTTGGTTTTTCGTCTACCGTCTATATTTAAAGTACACTTATATCTTGTTGTTGTTAATTTTTATAACGTCTTTATATTTAAACTTCAACACTGTTACTAAAAGACCATTGAGTTTAATATTTTTTATAAAATCAGCACAATAAGTTTAGGAGTAAACGTTTCATTACTATAATATAAACACATCACAACCAATAAATTGTAACTTAGGATGACGGTAATTTTGTATACATACTATGTCACAATAAAAATTATCTTATAAAATAATTCAAGTGACTTTACTGGAAGAATCATAAATGGAAACTTAAAAATATAAATTTGATTGTTATTTGCATAATATATATTATATTAGGTAGTATTATGTTATTTGAAGGTATTATATAAATTAAAATAAATAGAGCATTGTGATGTATACTATATTACCAATTTTTACGTTTATATAATTAAAGTTAGTAGGGTATAAGACATAGGTGAGTAAATAAATAAATATTTTGAAAATATTAACTAGAAATTTATATAAACTATAAATCATGTCGTTCAATTCGGCACTAAGTTCCCATAAATATCTTTATAATAAACCTATTACTCATTTAGATTTAGAATACGAACAATGATAAATGTAAATAATAGCATTGTAAATATAATTTATTAAATTTAAATATTTTAACGTCCATGATCACAATAATAGCTTAAAATGGTTTTCTCAAAAGCGATTTTATGATTTTACTTCCATTTTGAAAATTATAAGCTGTTATTTTAAACAGACAAAAATAATTAATGACATCACCAAGTAACCCATATGTTCTATCCGGTATAATTTGCGAAGTTAGTGAACAAGAAGACGTAGATTAAGGAGAATGAAAAGTTTTCACTGTCCACAAATTAAACAGTTTTGGCAGTTTGTTTAAAGTTTCGTTAGAGGACCTTTCCCATTATTTAATTTCCTTTATTTATATTTAGAACTGCTAAAAAGAGAACATCTATATATTTTTTCATCGTTAAAATTCAAAAGTTTGGTCACGTTCTCAAGCGTCGTTTTGAATATYTAAAATTGCATTTTTAAGACCAATAAATATAAAAAAATAGGTTGTTCGACGCTTATGAATGGATAATATTTGTCGATAATCGATATTTTTCATATTGTATTTTGAAGGTGATTAAGAGGGGGTCTAAGAAAACCAAATGTGTAAGTTGATACTTACCAACTTCTTGAGATTTGACTGTATCACCAGCTGGTGTTTCACCAAAATCGTATCTGTGATCATTAGCTTGTAACAACCGAACACAACCAACGAATCCACGGTCTGTTGGGAACCGTTCAGCTAGCCCAGATGTGTTACCTCGACCGCCGATAAAGACAGGCTCTCGAAACGTAATCCTTGAGAATAAACCCTAAGAGTAAAAATAAAAACTATTATTAGAATAGTGAAATTGAACTCAGCATTCTAATTATTTTTTATTCATTTGTCATGTATGCAAAACGCATTTTATGGCATTAATGTTTAAAATGAACATTAAAAATACTATTTCATTAAATTTGTAATAGGTAATGTTAATAGATACATCACTGAAATACTCAAAGTTCGATAGAAAAAAATTGTATTATATCAAGAGTTCAGTGGAGCCTTGAGAAAAGTGTATATACATCACGTAATGTACAAAAAAATTAATATTGCGTAGTTGTGTGGGTATTTGGTATCTATGTAGATAATAAAATAATTATTTTAAAATCGGTACATTAAAATTTCTATAATTTATGTTTAATCCAATTGTGTGTGTGCATATGTAGACACCAACAGCATGGTTTGTAGATAACTGTAAGCTACAGAACTACACTGAATAAATAATAATTATAGGTAATTGTAGTAATCATTTATGAATAGGTAACCACGAATATATTTCACGAATAAAGAGCTCATTTCTTAACTTTATTCTAAAATATAAAATCTCGTTAGGAAAACTAATTTTGTACTTATATCTTATTTAATATTAGGTAGATATATTTTTAAATGTATAAATTGAGTAAAATTATTTTAACCTTCAAATATTAAATTTCCATTCAGGGCCGGAATAAAGAGAAATGCGCCCAAAGGCTTTGATTTTAACTGCGTCCATACAGTACCCATTTTTTGTGGAGTCGAACGAAAAAAATCAAATTACTGTTAATGCATTTACATTGTCACCGCATGTCTGTTGTCTGCATGACAAATAATTAATAACAATAATAATAATAATAATAATAAATACCTATCGATAATAATAATATTTTTTGTGTTAGTAAGTACTCAACTGTCTACATAGTAAACGCTACATATGACATATTAAATAGTCTCAATTGATCTACATTTAATCAATTTATTATTATTAAAGATACCAAAAAAAGTATGAAGTTTTGATTGATTGTACAATATTCAAACATATTTGGTGACTTGAAAACATTTAGCACTCAGAGAAATTGTCTGTAGTGGCAATGGTTAATCCAGTCTCTTCAACTATCAATTACATACGATTGTAATTCATATAATTAACTATGGTCTGTAGATATACATAAAAAAGTAATAAAACTATGAATAGAAATTATATTTCTAACAATTTTTTTATTTTTTCTACCCGCCAACATTGAGCTAGTATTATAGTTCATTAAACAAAACAGACATTTTTTTAGTATTATGTGAAATCTATATCTTTAAAATTATAATGCTAACGTTAAATACATATATAATATATTATAAATAAGATAACAAAAACACCTTCTATTTTGCTAACGAAAGTTCATCTTTTAGTGTCAGTCAAACAACACTTTACATTAAAATTTATACACTATAATAGTATAATTTATGCTATTAAAAATTCCATAACAGGACGTTAATTTAAAATAATTTGTATACCGTTAAACGTCAAATAAAACATAAAGGTGTACATT